AGTGCTGTCAAACGATTAATCGTGATTAATCGCATCCAAAATAAAAGTTTTTGTTTGCATAATAAATGTGTGTGTACTGTGTATATTTATTATTTATATATAAATACACACACATGCATGTACATATTTAAGAAAATTTTTTATGTTAATATATTATATTTTTATATAATATAAATGATATGAATATAAATGTATTAATGTAAATACATAAATATTTTCAAAATATATACTCTATGTGTGTATTTATATATTCATAATAAATATTTTTGACAATATTCACTCATCATGACAGTAAAATAGGGCATTCTAAGTCATTATACTGCAGTATTTCCTCTCTCAATCAGTAGAAAATATGGTTAACACCCGGTCATGCATGAAAAAAAAATACCGTCATGTACCGTGAAACCGGCATAATTTTGAAAAATACCGTGATATAAATTTTTGGTCATACCGCCCAGCACTAGTACACACTTTTATTTTGGATGCGATTAATCGCGATTAATCATTTGACAGCACTAGCATTAATAAGCATAAAATAAGTTAAAAGTTATACTTCTTTGTGTAGATGCAGCAAATGTGAGTCTTAATGGTTGGAAACTGTGTCAAAACAGCTTAATAATACATTGAAATGGTATAACATCTGGAACTAAAAAAAAAAAAAATCCAAATTGTATTATAATTATTGTGCTTGCAGTTTTCATGACCTCATATTAAAAATGAGAAGCTATGGGAGTTTTTTTTTTGTTGTTTTTGTTTTTTTACGCAACATTTGACACCGTATGACCCCTGAAACAATTTATTCAAAATGATAAAAAAAATGTAACCTAAAAAAGAAACTTTTTGAAAATCTCCCAAATGTATTACTGTATCAGAACACTAAATGCATTTCACAGTGTTAAACATATTCAATTAGTCTCAAAAGTAAATACATTTACTTCGGAAGTTGTAATAACTGATTCCTTATAGGAAGTCGTATCTTTCTATCGTCACACTTCTGCTGCAAGGTGCGGTTAGTGAAACCAGAGAAGTTGGAACAATAAGCTATAAGCCGCTAGTGCTTACTGATTATTAGTGTTTTACCAGCCCCTGCTGTGTTTCTATTAGATCACAGTTGCTGCTGGTTCAGTGAAAACACAGATGAGCCTCAGGTGACTCCATCATGCTTTGATCACAGAACCGTAACTCTGCAGCTTCTTATTCCTGTGAACTTTGATCAAAACTAGATCCTACCCAAAATCTGTCCCATTTATGAACACTCTGATATCACCAAGGGCTATCATTGCGTGTTCACCTCTAGGATTTCCATCTTAGTTTCCCTGCATTAATAGACTGTTTTTCTGGTGAGGTCATGAGGCAGTATGAGCTGCCCCTGAATACTGAACACTGTATGTCTTTGTTCCTGGGTCGTAATGGTAGTTACAGCGATGTAGCCTTCAGGCCTGTGAAACTTTATGGCTACCAGCCAGGGACAGACTTTTCAAACAAAGCCTTCAGTTATGTGCGTGAATCAGAGATTGAGGAACAGTAAATGTGTTTTGGAGAATCTGAGGTATTGTTGGGATGGCTTGGAAAATGCGAGTCAGGGAAAGGTATCCTTTTCTAGTCGCAGCAGGAGGCAGGGGGAACTCCTGTATGCCTTGGCAAACCCTCAAAGGGTTGGAAACTAGTCCCAGAATGCTTTGCACATGGACCTCTCAGCTTGATTAGAGCAGCTTGATTATACTGTAGCAATCACAAAGGTTCAAAAGGGCATCATCAGCATTATCAAAGACTTGAGTACTACTACCGAGGGTACATTTTCACACCATCCAACTTAGCCACACTTTTCCAGTGATTTTGAGAATAGTCACCTTCAAAGAATGTAAAAAATCTAGAACTGGACTACTCTGCCAAAACCAGCAGAAAGTAAGAGATGTTAATTTGTCAGGTGACCTGGTGACCTTGTCTCTGTTGTTTTTTGTCTTGGGACAACTGGTTTTCTTAGCAGTTTGCTGTCTACAGCCATTGACATTTGTAGAAAAAAAGTTACTAAAGAGCTGGAAAAACAGGTCATGCCAGCTTAAGGTGGTCAAGCTGGTTTGTTGCTGGTTAGACCATGGCCAAAGTGGTCCACAAACACTAACCAGGTTGGCCAAGATCTTAGGGATAGTTGACCCTAAAATGAAAATCGTCATCATTTACTCAGCTTCAAGTTCCAAACACTTGCTGGTAGCCATTCACCTCCATAGCATGGAAAAAAATACTATGGAAGTCAGTGGCTACTGGCAACTGTTTTATTACCAACATTCTTCAAAATTAATTTGTGTTCAACAGAATAAAGAAACTAGAGGTTCCAAGGGTGAGTAAATGATGACAGAATTTTCAGTTTTGGGTGAACTATCCCTTTAACAGATCAACTTTAGTGCTGTCAAACGATTAATCACATCCAAAATAAAAGTTTTTTGTTTACATAATATATGTGTGTGTACTGTGTATATTTATTATGTATATAAATACAAACACATGCATGTATATATTTAAGAAAAATTTTATGTTTATATATGAAATATATTTATGTATAATATAAAATATAAGAATATAAATATATACATGTAAATACATGTAAACATTTTAAAAATATATAATGTTTGTGTGTGTATTTATATATACATAATACATATACACAGTACACATACATATATTATGTAAACAAAAACTTTTATTTTGGATGCGATTAATCACGATTAATCGTTTGACAGCACTAATCAACTTCAGCTGATAACCATACTAAAAAAAAACACGCCGCTTAAACCAGCCTAAAGAGGTGTCACACTTGACTTTTCGTTCCATTGACTTCCACTGATACGCATGCAAATTCTGGAGACCAGAAACGCAAACTCATCTGAAGACGTTTTGCATTTTGCAGTTCTCCAAAGTTTAAGATTAGTGAACTGTGACCTACAGTATGAATTTGTATCACATGAAGATGAGTGACCAATAAAAGATTGACATGCCATGGCGTGACCTCTTACCTGAATTAAAATAATACAAACTTTAAAGCTAAGAGGTTTTCAGTGTTGCAGAAAAGTGGAGTACATTGCATACTTTTACATTTTGGGATTATTGTTTTTTTATATGTTGAATTTATAATAAAAGATGATCCAAAGTCCAAATAAAGATTTTGTTTACTTAAAGGGGTCATATGATGCGATTTCAAGTTTTCCTTTCTCTTTGGAGTGTTACAAGCTGATTGTGCATAGATAAGATCCCTGAAGTTGCAAAGACTAAAGTCTCAAAACCAAAGAGATATTCTTTATCAAAGTTAAGACTCTGCCACGCCCCCCTAAAACGGCTCATTCTAACACGCCCCCACATATCTACCACACTATATGGAAATATTTGCATAATGCCACCCAAATGTTCA